CACACACACACACACACACACACACGGACTATTTTCATTCAGACATAGGCACAGAACAACTATAATAATACAAAAAATAACGTTAAAAGCTTAATATGAAGGATAGGCCTGTAGGAACAGAAAATGCTTAAGATGTCTTTTGAAATCAAGTGTTTTTGTTTGTCTTAGCTCCATGGGTAATCTGTTCCACATAAATAGACCAAGATATGAGAAAGATCTCTCTTCATATGATTTGCATGATTTTACGGGTGTCACAAGAAGGGTGGTATCGTTTGATGATCTTAGGTTCCTCCCTGGCTTATGTATACTGATAAGTTCTTGTAGATAAAAAAGGAGCAGTTTTATTTACACATTTGAAACACACGACGGAGATTGCAATATGGCGCGATCGATGCGACTTTTAGTGGCAGGTTTAATTATTTTAGTGCAAACTGGTGCGTCGTGCCACACAGATGGAGACAAGGCAAACAATGGGTTGTTTTTTCTTTGGCGTCATGCAGAGCAAAACCATTGTGCGGAACTATCTAAAATGAATATCAGACAAGGTGAAGCGAGCTGGCAAAATGAGTTACTTCTCGGATTCAAACGTTTTGGAAATAAATACATAATGCTTATACTAGAACTTAGTTATAGTTATAGGTGAGGTTTATACAATTATTTATAGATATGAAAAAAGGCATGTTATAAAGAATATGGCATAAATACAAAATCTACAAATTTGCCCTTTGTTTCGATTTTTGGCCAATATCTCCATTAATGTGGATTGCGAGAAGTAACTCGTTTTGTCAGCACGCCTCACAACATTCTTTTCGGCTGCCAATTATTGTGTTCAAATTTGAAATACAAATGCCAGTGTGGAGGAAAATATAATTACAAAAAATGTTGTACCGTTTTGTTGTCGATTTTGTTGTTGTTGTTGTAGTTGTTGTTGTTGCTGTTGTTGTCGTTGTTTGTTTGGTTTTTAATCACCCTATACATGTATAGTGTTTGGAATGTAACGTGAATAGATTACACCAGCTACTCTTCCTAGACCGCGTTTTCCAAGTTCTGAGCTTACTCTCTCTAACATCAGTACAGGGGGCTCTTTCATTCAAACGTCCCGGGAGTAGTGGTTATGGAATATAAGGAGGAAAAGGGGGGGGGGGGGGGTGCGTAAGAAACTGAAAATTAATAAGCCACCTGGGGGTGGGGGCTTATTCAATACCTCAGAACAGTGGTCTGGCGTGCCGCAGCTACCCTACCATGATCACCCCCCCCCCCCCCCCCCCCCGGGCCGCTATCCACCCTGTGCCATGAAGCGTGTGGTTTTCTTTTTCTGTTTGCTTTTCTTTTCTTTTCTTTTCTTTTTTGTTTGGAAGTGTTTTACGGCGCTCGCAGCTGCACAAGGACATATATATTATGCGCGCGTGGAATATATTTAATTGAGCATTAATTTCAGTTGGGTAGGAAAATTAATTTAGAATTTTGCCCGGGTGGCGACCGAAGCGTACTCTATTCCATTTAAGAACCAGAGGAGAGGGACAAAAGGGGGGGGGGGGGGGGGCAAGAAAGAGGAAACGAAAGCAGACGACAGAAAATGGCTAGAGAGCAAGTAAGGAGGTGACAGCAGAACATTTTAGAGAAGAAAATTTTCCGTCGCTGTTCGGTTTCGAACTCGGGTTCAATTGAATGAGAGGTGAACACCTTAACCTCTAGACAACGAGAGCCCTGGAACATGCGTGTGAGTGTGCACTTTGTGACTGGCACAATAAATTACGACGTGTATAACCAGTGCCATGACTGAGTTCTGGCTACTCACGAAATATCGCATGTTTTAGCGTCTCATCTCCCGTTATGGCCAGAAGATAAATAACATATGTCAGTACATTTTAAAAGCTGGACGAAGACGTATAAAATATTATATCTTCGTTCCTGTCGAACGGTAGATGAGCTAAATACGAATTCTGGTAATTCGACACTCGTGGAAAAAAGAAGAAAATCAAAACTTCGTCGTTACTCATAATATAAAGATTTTTCAGTCCCGTTTTCTTATCATAAACTTAAACACACACACACACACACACACACACACACACACACACACGCACACACACACACACACACACACACAAAACAAACAAACAGACAAAGCAAATAATGTAATATCGTACTCGTGTTTTTAATTTGTGTATATATGGCTCGAAATGTGTTTTGCGACATTGCCATTGGCCCGCTATGAAAATATAATTGTATGCCTGATTACAATTTCACTTTGTTACACGATTACCTTTCTCCTATTGCTAACTACGTTATATACAAGAGGGTCGAATCAATTGCTTGTCCTAGTCTCTCTAACACTACTTTTGTCGGCTGATGTCTGATCCAAATAAATGGTTTTAAATTGTTGACAACTTTACTCATTGCACTCAAAATTTCCCCAAACCATCAGTCTAGGCCTACCGTAAAAAAAAAAATCGACTGTCGACGACTAGCCTTTGCGAGCGTCATGTCCAAAACAAAAATTCAAGACTAACTTAGATAAATGTAACAACTGAAGTCGTGGTGCCTTTGTCTGACTCTTGTTCAGGGCAGCGAAAGCATAGGCCTAGGCTACATCAATGTTTTTTAGTTTTCACTGTGCCGCCCACGGAGGTCTTGAGCTTTTTCTGAAGCCACTAGGCTAACCTTTTAAAGGTTTCGAGACTTCCATCTCAGTGTGACGATGCTTCAAACATAAGGAGCAAATTAGGATGATGCAAGTAGAATATTATATTACATCGGCATGTATGTATAATATAATATAATGTAGTCCTTACATAATATATATATATATTAATAGACATGGCGGCGATGAAGTAAAGATGATGAAAAAAAAGTACGGACGTGGCAGGCCAACTCTGAACCTCGTAAACAGATTCATAAACTTAATAAGCCCAGAGTTGTAGCCTGCATGATTTCCTTGATTTTGCTTTTCCTGCTTCTCTTCTTTTTTTTCTTCTTCCCAATTCTTTACTGAAGCTTGTCTATCCAGTATACGTTAAGCCCAGCCCTGCACCTAGAAATGGTGCATCGTAGGCTATCTGAACTATCTCTGTCGAGGACAAGATCAGCACACACAAAAAAGAAGAAAAAAGCATAATGCTCTGACTGTACACGTAACAGGAGTACCAGTTGACAAATCAATTACCTATTCAATCGACTGTGTAAATGGGATAAACATATTATTATAATTAATATCGTTTCATATTTATGGAAGTTACGAACATCAATGAACACGTTACAATGAATTGAGCTGGTCACCGTGACCATAATTTTATGGTCTCTTATTTCGTGAACAAACCTTTTCGATAACGGTTTCCGGTTTTTGGAACATCTATATTGCCACATTGAAATACAATTGAATAAAGGGATTGGACCTTGGCATTACTGAAAAGGGTCAAAATTGGGGAAAAACATACATCAGATCACATAGTTTAAGCATAAATTTGTGTTACTTTTGTAGAAATTTTCATAATCTGTTTTCTGACAAAATCTTTGTCAATTTTTAAATACTTTAATCAAGTCTACACACATGTCAACAAGTTATACGCCAGAAAGAATATGTAGCCTCTGGCAACTTTTTATGCGCTGACTGAGCATCGCAGCACAGAATAACAGAAAAGATAACATCGACATCGCTGTTTACAAGACTAGGCCTGGCTAGACAAGACCAAGCTTAGGATCAAGTGTTTATTCGTGTGTGTTCAACATCTCTTCTCTCTAAATGAATTTCAAGGAAAAGAAAAAGAAGTAGATCTAGTAAGTTCGTAATGCGGGATCTCCGTTATGAAAAAGAAAAAAGTAGATTAGAATTTGTGATTGTGTGTGACTGTCGTCATTGCAATTTGAATTATTGTTGTCGTTGCTCATGTAAGTTGTAAGGGGGTCAGGTCTTCCCAAATTATGAAAAACAACTTTTGTCGTCGGTTATAATTAGAATCTAGATCTATACAATAACTTTTACATCATCGTTGCGTGGATCTAGAATCTAGATTAGATATTGGATCTAGATCTAGAATCTAGATCTAGATAATCTAGAGATAAGATCTAGATCTAGAGATCTATTCTCCTAGTACGTAAGCCTCTTGCACTGTTCTTGAAGTGACTTATTAAGAAGCAAGTGGCAAGTGGCTATTCTTCGGCGCCGCGCCGGTCAATAGATCGACGATGGCTATTATCTGGCGTCACGTAGGCCCTCTAGACTATAGATCTAGATTTAGATATCTAGATCTAGATCTAGATCTAGTTGCACATGTCGCTTCTCCACAGCTTTCCATCTTCCCCTGTCTTGATGGCCTTACTCAACTCAAACACTTTTATCAGTTATCAGGGTCGGCATTTCTTCAGAAGGCGATTCAACATAGGTGGACACGCAGCCACTACTCAATGCAATGAAAAGCTCCAGTGACAGAAGGAGGAATTTCTGTGTCAGAGGTGACGGTAAAATTGAAGATTAGCAGACCACCTGGGACTAAGCCTAAATCTAGATCTAGATAGGCCTAGAGGTCTATCCCAATTATTTATTTCCGTCTACACTCCCCCCCCCCCTTTTTTTCTGTTAAGTGTTCCTAACACCCTATCATCACCCAGCGTACCCTAGAACTTAGGCTACCGGAGTAATGATGGTCTGCTAAAATTAATGTTCAAAGAGGCCAAGGTGACAGCTTCAGAAGCGCCTACAACCCTCAGTCACAACCAGAAGCACAAGAACGCGCATCTGGCACTGAACTCAGTTGCAACAATAATGGCCATAACGTGCCCGACAGGGGAGATTGGGCTGTAGGCCTAGAGAAGGGACATTTTTTGTGAGATATATGCACAGAGCTTAGGAATACCCATCGATCTATTGACCGGCGCGATGCCGGAGATTAGCCTTTTGCTCTTCAGAAACCTGTCCAGGAGTAAATAGATCTACGTATACACTGCCCGTGACAATTACAATGATTGAGTAACAATGTTTCTTCAGTCACTGGCGCTGGTTCCAGGGTTGGGTTGATTTAAGGGAGTGTATACAGACCCGGTAACCGGGAACAAAGTCACAAAGTATACAGACCTGGTAAGGGAACTCTTTTGTGATTTCGGAGAGTTTCGAGCGCCCTCTTGGCTCAGGGTAGACCTAGGTTCTTCTAGATCTATGGTCTAGATCTAGATCTAGGCAGACAAACTTAAATCGTTGATCTAGTTTCGCGGATAGCCTAGATTTTTAGATCTAGATTCTAAATGAAGAGTGCGGATGTCTTTTCGATGAACGATCGTTTTTCCTCCGTTTTGGAGTTGGAGGAATCGCAATTTGAAGAAAAGAACAAGTTACAATGTCATAATTTCAATCGAGCAACCCCCCCCCCCCCCTCTCTCTCTCTCTCTCTCTCTCTCTCTCTCTCTCTCTCCTCTGTGTATCGCTCGCCTTCTCTTTTTCTTTGTTTGCCTCTGTCTTTCTTTGTCCCCACCTATTTCCCACTCTATCTTTCTCTCGTTCCCTCCTGCCAACTGGGGCATGTCATATAACATTTTGCTAGTACCCCCCCTTCCCCCCCCCCTCTCTCTCTCTCTCTCTCTCCCTCTCTCTCTCTCTCTCTCTCTCTCTCTCTCTCACACACACACACACACACACACACACACACACACACACACGATTTCGACCGGGTCTGGGGGCTGAAACTTCCCGAAATCACAAAAGAGTTCCCCTACCGGGTCTGTATACTTCGTGACTTTGTTCCCGGTTACCGGGTCTGTATACACTTCGTTGATTTAAATCAGGTTGATTTAAATCAGTTGATTTTTAAAATTTAAATCAACTTGATTTTTTAAGTAAAAATCAGTGATTTAAATCACTTTTTAAAAAATTTAGTTTTATTCAGTTTTTACATATTTCAACATTCAGAATTCCTTTCCTAGGTTTCATAAAACAGATATAAGGTTTAGTACACTAATATAATCATGCTTAAAAGTCTGCTTTCCCCCCTTTCACTGTAAAATAATACAGTATTCAATTTACTTTTTCTTCCCATAATTGAAATCAGAGCTGGGTTGATTTAAATCAGTTGATTTTTTTATTTTTATCAACTTGATTTTGTGATTTAAATCACTTTTTAAAAAAAGTATTCTGTTTTTACATATTTAAACATTCAGAATTCCTTTCCTTGGTTTTATTAAACAGATATAAGGTTTAGTAGACTACTATAATCATGCTTAAAAGTCTGCTTTCCCCCCCGTCACTGTAAAATAATACAGTATTCAATTTTCTTTCTTTTCATAATTGAAAACCAGGGTTGGGTTGATTTAAATCAGGTCGATTTAAATCTGTTGATTTTTAAAAAATTTAAATCAACTTGATTTTAAAAATAAAACTCTGTGATTTAAATCACTTTTAAAAAATGTATTGTTTTTCGTCTTTAAACATTCAGAATTCCTTTCCTTGGTTTTATAAAACAGATATAAGGTTTAGTAGACTAATATAATCATGCTTAAAAGTCTGCTTTCCCCCCTGTCACTGTAAGTGTAAATTAATACAGTATTCAGTTTACTTTTTTTCATAATTGAAATTAGCATTTTCTTTTTCTTTTTAGACAAACACAAGCGCACACACACGCACACTGTAATAAAATACAAGTTTATCTATGCATAATTACCCCCTCCCCCCCTTTCTTTTTAGACTGACATTTTCTTCATTTTTTTGTCTGTAGCCATAATTCACTGATAATAGCAGATTAAGGCTTTCTTTTGCAGTTGCTTAAATTAATCATTAGTTAAAATAAAGACAACGCATTCTGCACTAAAAGAACATACTTTTAGCCACCAAAAATCCCAAACTGTCGACATTTTTAAAAAAATTTAAAAAATCCGATTTAAATCACAAAAATCTGATTTAAATTAAAAAAATCGATTTTTTATATTTTTATTTTAAAAATAAAAAAAATCACCAACCCTGGCTGGTTCCCTGCCCTGTGAAAGCATGAAATCAGTGGGCCCTACAAGATAGAGCTGTCTTTTGTTTTAGTACATCTACTACATTGCACCAGCTTTTATCTTTGCCACAAGGTCACTGAAATATATTACCATCTTGCCTGGCCTTTAACCCTCATTCTGCGGGGGCCATGTCGCCCGATAAGCCTATTTCGGCGCCTTGCCTGCGTTCTGGTCCCGCGTCGGTCTAGTCCCTGGCTCAGGGCACACGCGCCGAGCACCATCTTGCCCTCAATTCGGGTCCCGAGTCTGATCCGCATTCACGCAGCTCAAGTGTGTGTGCGTCAGTCTGCTTGTGCGTTTGTGGCCTTCTTCTTGAACCACCTGCGATGGTTTGTAACCGAGGCCTACGTCTCATTCAAAACACGCCAAGTTGGTAGCTCTAGATGTTCGTCCAATGAAATTATAGAGCAAATTGACAGGAGCTCGAAAGGATAGTCAGGAAACTAGACTTCCATTTCTCTCTGTACAAAATCTTTCAAATGAGCTTGATTTTGTGAAATGATACAACCTGATAAGAAATAAGCTTATTTGATAATTTTGAATACCATTGTGCAGGTACAAAGAACAATTTGAGTGCAAAACATTCGGAAATTGACCTATATTATCCCCTTTCGAACCCCAGGTTATTCATAACAACAAGAGCGTTTAGAAAGGTTTTATTCGAATGGGCGTAACTGCTCGTAATGTCTTATCAGCTTATGAGAGGGGGTTATTCATGTGTTTGTAAGACTTTATAAATAGAAAGCTAAGAAAGATAAAGCGTTATTTTCACTGTCGATTAACACACTCCCACGGTATTCATGGCGAAAACTGAAAACGCACGTTTCCTGGCGCGCGCGCTGTACACAAACAGTACACACTGAGTGACCCCGGCGGCCTGCCTGGAACGTCCGACGTAATCGGTTGCTGATAAGATTCGCATCTCAGCACAGACTGGCACTTACCGTGACAAGGTCCAGTGAGCAAACTATACAGTGTTAGGGTTTTAAGGTTAGGGTTAGAGTTAGGGTTGGTGTTGTTGGTTGGCCGGACCTCTGCAGAATTCTTCCGAGCTTTTTCCCACCACACCCCCTCCCTGCAAATAGGTCTACCTATCTTTGTTGGAATATTGCATTGTCCTGTGGTTTCTTGTAGAGTGGACCCAGTTGACAGTGTAGTGGGATCTTTTACCTTCTCCCTATCTTTGAACTCACTTTGCTGTTTTACTGTTTTTGCTGGGGACCTTATATTGAGAGTGGCAGTGGTTCAGAGGGGCTGTCATTAGTATGGAAGACATTGCCATGGCATAATTGCTTAAAGTTTTTAATGTAGAAATAGACTCAGCCTTAATATAATGTTTCTCATCATGATTAAATTTCAGTCAGGTCAGTTTGGTTTGATCCACCATGAGCATAATCCACCCCCCCCCCCCCTCCCCGTTTTTCTTTGTTTCAGGTAATACATGGTGGTGAGCTAAGTGAGGTCAGCTGGTCTGTTTCCAGATATTATGGAAAACTTCCATCATGCTCACATGGGATACGCTCGCACAGAACAATCTGGTCCAGATGACTTACAGCGCTTCCTGGTTACATCCCAGCATGCTACCCATGGAGTGTTTCGCTACCCTGCTCAAAAGGAGGCTCATATCAATGCAGGAAGTCAGCACAAAATGCAAACTCCCCCTATTCACAACTTTCCGTCCGCAGCTCCTCCTTTATACCCGAACCCGCAGTCGGCCTCCCTCCAGAAGCAGCAGCAGCAGCAGCTCTATAATGGGCAGGATCAGTTTGCCAGGCTTTGTCCTGTGTCTTCGGCTCGACAGACAGCTTCTGCCTATGGGCAAAATTCTTCCTACGGCCAAAGCTTTGCCTATCAGAGTTGCACTCCCCCGTCGCCGGTGAGTCAAGAGAGCATGTGGATGAGTGCTGCCCAAAGAAGTCCCCAACTTTCTCCAGCAATGTCTGTTGTTCAGCAACCTCTGAATGCTCATCCGTCGATCTGCTCAACCCAGTCTTCTTCAGTTCCATACTCGCCCTCAGTCCAAGCTCCCCCTCCCATGGCACACATGCATTATCCTCAGACCAACAATTATGTTCCCAGTCAGGGTACTAGTTACTTGCATGACGGTCAGTTTCCCCAGACTCAACAGCCTGCTCCGCAAGTGTCACACCAAAATATGCTGAGTCCACATCAAAGCAATCCCATATCACAATTGGCTCATCAAAGCCTGACATCAAATATTTTGACTCAGAACGCATATCAGACTGCAAAATCTGCCTATGACCGACATGTAAGTAGTGTTACTCTCAAAGAGACTGCTCATATTCCTTCTGCTGTTCAGCCAGATCCTCAGCAGTCATTTATCAACACATATTTAGGACAATTTTCTTCTGCTCAGACTGCAGTGACAATGTCTCAACAACATCGAATACCAGACCCAGTGTCTGCACGGTCTCAAGTGTCATCTGCTCACCCACAGCGGAGTACCGTGGGTGGGTTGCCTGTGTCCAGCTCTGTTCCAGTGCCAACCGGTGCTGCTTACTCTCGACCCGCAAAGCAAAATCTCAAGGCAAGACAGGGTCATCCAAGTTCCAGAGGGGCCCCAGCTGCCCCGGCAGCTCCAAGTTTAAACATTGCTGCTCGCCTGCTACATCCGGTGAATGCGGCAACTCAGTTTGCTATGTGGGATCAGTCTACCAGGAAGCAGCCTCAGCCTCAGCCTCAGCCTCAGCCTCAGCCTCCTGCTGCCCACTCACAGATGCCGCAGACTGTCCACAGGGCAGCACACGCAAATAACCAAAGAGTCCAGTCAATTCCTCAGAGGTCTTCCGCTAGAGAGATGGAGAACTTCGTTAGGACGAGGCAGCAGCCTCATGAGAGAACAAATGCAGAAAGGGCAGCAGGCCCCAGGCTCGCTGTCCAGAGTGCCCGAGGGCGAGGAAGAGCGTTGGGTGGAGTTGCAAGGGGTAGAGGTGCGCCGTTAGGTCGGGGGAGAGGAACTGTCAACAGTGCACCCACTGAAAATGTGATGCCGCTCCAGTGGTACCGACAGCCAGACTTGAACCTCTCCTCCGAGTACCAGTCTGACATTGAGGCTATGAGGGGATCCACAGCTTCAGATGCTAGGCAAAGAAATACTCAACTCGCTCAACAGATACCCAAGCCCACGTCTTCTGGGACAACCAGTCAGCCATCAACATCCACTAGTGCAGCACCAGTTATCCAAGGGGATGCTCAAAGTTCGTCCCACACTCGCATGTCAAAAGCAGCCTCCTTGGCTGCTATAGAAATTAAACAGGAAATGGTAGAAAGTATGAGTCGGACTAAGACGGGAACTGACAGAGACTGTGTCAGAAAAGATTGTGCCGCTTCCCATCACAAGGACACTTCTTCGGGTTCCTCTTCCTCAAATCAAAGTATTAGCCTGGCATCTCGTCAGCCGGTAGCCCCACAGAGAAATGCAGCTCAGAGTAATGCTCCAGGAGATCCAAGCTGTTTGCAGAATGGGAAGCAGCCGATGGTTCATCCCAGCATCGTAAAACAAGAGCGCCATGAGCAGGAGACAGAGTCACGTTTGGCCCATGTCAGTGGCCCAGTTCCATCTGCTCAAGGCAGCAGCAGCAGCAGCAGCAGCAGCAGCGCACCCCGTGGTGGAGGGAATGCAGCACCGAGTGACAGAAGCAGAGATGTTCCGCCACAAGTCAGGGGCGGCAATGCCACTGTTGCTCCAGCTGGTTCGGTAAACAGTTTCAACAGTCCTCCCCCTTCTGCCTTTGGCCCAGAACAAGGGGCTGCAGGCAACAGAATGAATGTTCCTCCTATGCCTGGCCCACGCTCGGTTCACACAGGCCCTCCTGCAGATGTGAAGCCTGGGGTGAATGCACGAGAGAAAGTGTTCTCCATGTGGAGAGCAGGCCAGGTTGTGGGCAGGGCTCCAGTCCGGGGCAAGGCCAGAGTCAAAGCTACTACTGTAAGACCTCCCATTGGAAAAGAGGGTAGGGAGGCTAATGATCTTCCGGGTGCACCACAGGTAAGAGATGGCCCTGTTGAAAGAAGACAGAATAACAACGAAAGAAATCCTCACGTAGCCGCTGCCCAAGGGCAAAGCAGTGTGAACTCAATGAAGAATTTGGATACATCATCCTCTGCCTGTCTGCCTGCAGGCTCACAAACATCCAGGTTTGTGCCACCTCCTAGTCTGACTGCGGGGGACACTCAGAATGCCCCTGCAGCGAACAGTGTATCTGAAAGGCCTGCCTGTGAACCTAACAAGTCTAAAAAGGCTTACTTCTATGCCACACTTCACGGTCACAAGCTGCTCTGCCTTCAGTCAGGGGACAGGCCTTTTGTGTTGGTGTGCCAGTTTCAGTTCCAGTGCTTCACAGACATCGGTGTCGGAAGTGTCACCAACTGCATCGACAGAGCTTTGAGGATAAAGAAGCGGCTGTTGGATCATCCTGAGAAAAATAAAATCTTACTCTATTTGAAGAACAATGGCTACCTCCAGGGCCCCGGTGCTGAGAACTTTGTGTATACCATCAGCGTGGACGATGCCAGGCGGGTGTACCACTGCATGTACAACATTCGCAATTGTTCCTCCGATAGCTGTCTCATGGAGCTCACTTCAGTTCCTGTGGATTTCAACGCTGTGTTGCCGGCCATGAAGAAGAGGGAGATGCTAAAGAAAATCAAAAAGGAAAAAGCAGAGGATAAGAGCTATGGCAGGCTGTCATCCTTATCTCAGCAAAGGAATTTAAAGAGTTATACCCCTGCACCACATGCTAAGCTGAACAAATCCAATGGATCATTGTCAAATCGGACTAATGCTGAGTCAGATACTGACACCACCGCTCAGAATGACAGTACTGTAGAATATGGGAATCGTGATCAAGCTAATTCTCTTGAAACTGCAAGTGGAACGGCTGGGGATAAAAACCTTATAACCTGGAGTGGTCAGGAAGCAAAAGTTGGTAGATTGTTAAATACAGTTGTAGGGCAAGTGAGGTCGTATCAAGACAAGGGAGAAAATTTCTTGGTAGTCGATGATGTTAGCCGGATCCTTGGGAAAGAAGAATTCTATAAAGTTGTAGATATTGAGAATATTACATTGTATTCATGCTGCGATGAAATTCATTCATTTCTAAATGGGATAAGTCTTTTATTTCCACCGATTTCATCTGTAAAAAATTGTCTTGTGAAGGAAAAAGATATCGGAACAGAGGCAAGTGGGGACGTTCGTCCTCCTGAACTGAATGGGTCATCTGATTCTGAACGGAAAAGAGTTTTGTGCAAAGAAGAAGTCAGTGATGACTTTTGCAGCACTCCTAAGCAAGCCAAGTTGAGTGAGACTGCTGAACAAAATTGTGGAGATGCTCCTAGCAATAACAATTCTTTCACAGACATAGAGATGGGCAGCTCTTTTGTGGGTTCTGAAGGTAATGTCTCGGCTGCTTCTGTCAGGACAAGCCCTAGGGGTTCTGATTGTGAGATGGACTCCAGTGGAGAAGGAAGACTGCACATTGTCTTTGATAAGTCTCCACCATCCAGTGAGAGAAGCAATGATAAAGAGATCTGTTCACCTGTAAAGACGATGGCTGATAGGGTTATTCTGTCTTCATTAGCGTCAGAGCAAAACTGGAATTCTTTACCCACCTTCACCAGCGAGTCCTTGCCCAGTTCAACATCGGAGTCACTACCTCAAGACTCGTCAGGTCGAGAGCTAGCAAAGGCTTCAAGTAAGGAACGTTTGTCCAGAGATGAGATGAATTCTGTGTCGCTATTGAGTGGAGCTAAAAGTCCTGATGCTAGTTTTCCGAATTTACCGACAGCGCATGAAAATTTGGAAAGGACAGAATCTATTAGTGTTCGCGACAATTTTCTCTTTGATAAGGATGATGGTACTCCTGTCAACAGGTATAGCGATGTCTCAGAGCATGCCGCCTCGGAGCCACATAGTCCAGATGTGGTTTTAGTGTCAGCACACTTTGAGAGCAACTCTGGTGTGATGCTGCCTAAACTTGAGCCTGCCGAGGAGGACACTCGTCCACAGAATAAAGAAAAGGACGGTGACGTTCAGATTGAGCCGTCTGTTTTTAAAGCCCATGGCTTGAAGTTACGGAACATGCTGCAAGAAACACAAAGGACCCTGGCCTCCTTAGTTTCAGGGGAGGGCAAGGGCTCTGACACGGTTGCACATTGCCCTGTGACACAGTCCCTGAGCAGTTTTACGGAATCCAGTTCTATAAACTCAGTTTCTGAGTCCTCCTCAATGTCTGTAAGCCAAGCCCAAGAAAATGTTCCAGACAATTTCCTCAGTCCGTGGCAGGTAGCCCCTTCTCCGAGAAAAGGCGATGCGGCTTCTTCTTCTGCCAAAAATACAAAGCAAACAAAGGAGATTGTTGCAGTTCAAGAAAGCCCGAGTCATTTTCTTCAGCGCTCAGATGAGAAAAGGTTCAGTTCCCCTCCACGTTCATCAGAAGTACAGGAGTCTCAAAGTTCTCACAGTACACCTCGCAGTGTGCCATCATGTAGTCAAAGTGCTCTTCCTCAGACTCAGAATAAGTCGAGAGAGGAGACAGATCTAGGTGGCAACAGAAATCTTGTACTGGTGGATGGGTTCAGAGTTGAAGTTGTGATGAAAAAAGAAATAGAGGACAGTGGTTCCCAGTGTACTTCTGAAATGATGTCCACATCCGCAATGGCTGCTACCCCGGACGTCCTACCTGCTCTCTCAGCGAACGCCCCAAGTGAGCGAAGAAGTCAAGATGACATTAATGTCAAGACTACTGAAGGCTGCTGTGGTGAGATTTGAATGAGTCCTGTCTGTTTTTCTGTTTTGTGCTATTTGTCAAAGGTGCTTGTGGAAATAAAGTTATTACATGACGCCAAATTTAATGGGGATGCCAGTTTTTAACATGAAGATTTTTAATTTAATAAAGGAGGTCTGAGCTGTTTCCAGGCTGATTCTAGCTTCTGTAACGGCAGCTTATAATTATATGACCTTTCTCATGCTTATTTCTGCATCTTTTTTTTTTTTTTTTTTCATTTGTATGGCCCTCGGCTATTATCTTTTGGAAGTGGGTGGTTGGCGGGTGCTCTGGTGTGGTTTTTCTTCTTTCCTATCAAACATCTATCATCTTTATCTCCCCTCCTTCTTTTTTGTGTTTGTTATTCTCTTGTTACACCTCTAATCTGTGGCACTTATATGACCTTTTTGAGTTGCAAGTGCCGTAAAACTTTTACTAAAATTTTTTGGAGTCTCTGTGGATTTCTGTGATTACACCTCTGATTTTAGTGGGAGTTTGTGCTGTTTCATTGCCTGAAAGGTTAGGGAGGGATAGAACGTGAGATGGATGTCTGATGAAGCAACGGTTCCTTTTATTTCTATATGATAGTACAAATGTCATTAAGTTACGGTTCCTGTTTCTCCAGTCCTTTTGTTAAATTCTAAAAGAACGTGTATAGGCTCTGAAATGTTCTGTACTTTTAAGGACAAGCGGGCTAACCCACATTTTGGGGCTTTCCAGAAATCTTGACCTACGCCAAAAATGGGCATTTGCCTACCTAAAGGAGAAGTTTGGCTTCATTGATATTTGTTTGGTTATAGAGAAAACTCTCCTTGTCTCTAAAAGAAACTGAACAAGTGACAAAAACTATACCTTCATTTTTCTCAAAACAGCATTTTTCGAGATAGTCCCCTTGAGCTTTAAAGTGAACATATAATACAGTATCCCCTTATATCAACATGCTTTGGGAAGTGGATTTGATGTCGATATATATAAAATTTCAATAAATGAAAATATAAAGCCAAAGAGGAAAAAACAAGGGGAGGTCAGCAGTAAAAGGACAACACTACTTTTTTAAGCGCAAACTTTTGTTGTAGCATCCTGGTTTATGGCCGCATGTTGGGGAAAATGGAAAGGTGAGGCACTGACTCACTGACTGGGGCTGTACCACAATTGGTCGCTTTTAAGGACAAGCGGGCTAACCCAGATTTAGGGGGTTTCCAGAAATCTTGCCCTACACCAAAAGTGGGCATTGCCCTACCTATAGGAGAAGTTTGGTTTCATTGGTGTGTATATTTGTTTAGTTATAGAGAAAACTCTCCTTGCCTTTTGAAGAAATTGAACAAGGGGCAAAAACTTTACTTTCGATTTTGTCAAAACAGCATTTTTCGGGATGGCCCGCGTGTGCTTAATAACGACCAATTGTCAGAAACAAAAGCTATTCTCTCCCTGGTTAATTTTCTCTGAGGTAACAGTAACAATGTTTCTTTATGTATTACAGAGTGGAGATCGCAAAGAGCCATCCTGGAAGAAAATAACAAGTTGAAGCTCCAAGTCCGCTCTCTGACAGGTAGGGTTTGCAGAGCGTTTTACATAACTGATGAGTATAGTTACTGCTATTCTGTTTGATGTGTTTATTTTAGTGAGCAAAGTTGTTTATTTATAATTCCATGCTTTGGTTTCTGTGGAAAGATGTTTGATCTGATATACTTATGAAGGAAACTTTTTCTTTCAGCACTTCTTTCCACCCTTTGAATAAGGTACCTCATTGCTTTTTGAAAAATCACCTTTAGTATTTTGTAGCAGAAGTGTGTGTGTGGAAAAGGGGTAAGTGGGAAGCTGTAATCTATGATAGAAGGAAAGATTTAGATAAAAGTATAAACAATTGTTATTGTTTTCTTTTCAAATGCTTACTTTGCTTTTGCCTTACCATAGCGAATGCAGGATATTGCTGAGTGATGTAAAATACAGTCTTCCTCTTTACATGTTTCTCAGATATAAGGGAAACTGAATTGTCAGCTCTTTCATAATATTACTATGATATTTATGTTTCTCTTTCAGAAACTCTAAAACAGTTGCAGTCTGAATTCTCAAAGTCAAAAGAAGAGGTGAAATCATTGCAGCATGTGAAAACGTATTATGAAGGTATGTCCAGCTGGTTACACCATGTTTTTCTGTGCTGACTTTTATTTTTTACTTACATTTATTGAACCAATATATCATCATATGGTTGTAAAGTTTTTTCCTTGGATGGAATGTCAATAAATACTTTCATGATAAGAACAAAAAAATGTTTCTGTACCTCTTAGACTATTACTGCTTTTCTAGCTAAGGAAGGAATAACATTTTTATGGGCCTCATTAGCCACATGCGGAATCAGGGTAAAAAAAGAGGGGAAGTGGGAGGGGGGAGGTGAGGGATGGCCGGCCTGCACACGTGTGACTGTATGTGTATCGGGGGGGGGGGGGCACCTTCGGTCTGGGCGTGAAACGTGGCTAGTACAGACGTGTCACAGGTTTTTCTTTCTCCACGGCAACTGATCCGGCATTATTACAGTGATAAACTAGTCTTGACGTAGATCTTGGTTATGAATTGTGCGCTGGTCTGTGGAATCAAAAGTTGCCGTATGCTAGGCTCTGCACAGCAACACAACTTTTTGGCAGTCGACCGAGATGGCACAGGCGTACATTTAAACGAATCAGTCTTTTTTTTTTTTTTGCACAGCTCATAATATGCAGGCATTTCTGGCACCCCTTTATACATTACTTGCTCTGTGCCTGTAATTATCTGCATAACACATCATGTTTGCTATGATGAACACTTGGATTCAACGAGATTTTAGGTCAGGCCCGGCGACCTCGTTGAATCCGAGTTCCACTGTATGCCCTTGTTTCATTATCCTGAATTTCTGATAACTGGAACCTTTCTCCAGGCATGCACACATATATGTGTCACGACGTGGTGGATTCAGGGGCTCGTCAATTTTTGGGCATAGGGGTTATTGGTATCATCTTCACGCCTATTTATTTGCCTTGTTTTGGGTGAAAAAAGTATTCATCTATGTTGAATAAAAGTTGAGATGTTTGCGTTTGAAGGAGGTGAGGGTAGCCTGGTTTCAGAGGTAAAATTATTGACAAAATGGCCGCCAAAGTTTGGTAATTTCCATAGCTTGAGAGTACTTGGAAACTGAAAATTTACATTTTTTTGTGTCTTCAATCAATGTTATCTGTAAACTCCACACTGTAATATGTGTTTTGATGGACATAAAAGTTATTGAGCCAAAAAAATACCCATTAAAAAAACAACAACTGCCCAACGGCCAGAAAAATGCCAGTTTCTTTGATTTCATTATTTTGACGAGCGCCTGATTTCACCACGATGCCTCACATATATTGCTTCATAGCAATATCTAAGAAAGCAGAAAAGCTAATCTCTTACTGGGTAAAAGAAACAGTTGTTTGTGATTGTTCGGTTCACTCTTATAAACGTTTAGCTGTGATTTTTTCAGTTTGTTCTGTGGTAGATGGGGACTCCGTTTAAAACTTATGATATGAGCTACCAAAATCAATGACAAGGGAAGTATTTTTATTTGTACAACACATTAGATAGTTACATTAGAGACTTAAATAAAGGTCCATTGTTGCATGTACTCATTTTTGTATGTCTAATTAGATGAAAATTTCTGCTTAAAAAAACCCAACTGATCCCTTTTTTTTTCACAGATGTGATAAATGACATAACATCCTCATTCAAGAATGGAGATGAGGAGACTCCAATTTTTATCAACGACGATGACGATTAATGGCCAGCCATATGTAAATGGATGAAGAGAAATATTTTCTTCTCTGTGGAGCCTGTCATGGGGCTGCTGCAGCTTTTGCTGTGAATTCGATTGTGTTTGTTTCGTAAGTCACCTGGAGTGGATTTTCCGTTGACATTTGGAGGGGCCAGTGCCTCCACACCACTCTTTTACTCCTAGTGTAGAAAACAAGCTGAATGTGTTCAGAGGCAGGAGCAGGAATGGTGCAGCCTGCCAAAGTGCCAGTTTTGTTCCCAGTTACAATTTCCTTCCCACGCACCATACCATAGGCTGACAGGCCATGAAAGATTCCATCGACTAACGGCATCGATATTATGCTGTGACCATGCTCTTCTTGACTTGAAACTCAGCTGAAGGAGATGTGATCTGTTCTAACATGTTCTCGTCGGGGAAGGAATGAGAAAGTCCTCGCAGAAGTGCTTAGAGTGTGTCTGTTGGTGAGTGTTTGTGATACTCCGTGAGTGGCTCGTGTGTTGTGTGCTGTGAGGTGTCCCAAGTCTGTGACCCACATTGAAGACCCCTGGAGAAAGGCTGTGCATTCACAAGTTTTATTTTACGCGAAAGAAACCTTTCACCAAGAAGATTGATCCTGTCACGGAGTATATTGACAATCATTTGCTGATAGGGTTGTCTGGTTCGAGGGGAAAATGTGAGCACTTGTGTGTATGTGAAGTTTCTCTCATATGGTTTGGATGGGGGGAGGGGGTGTGTGTGTGTGTGTGGGGGGGGGGGGGGGGGGGTTGCCACTTGTCAGGTTTTTTGTTGTTTCTGTTTGTTTTACTTTTCCATAAGTCCAGTTGACCTGAATCTTATCCTCAGCTCAAATCAAGTCTCTCCACATGTAGCTGTTGGCTCAAAGCAGCCTAAACATTTTGAATCTAGTTTGCACGAACTTGGTGATTGTGGTACTCGGAGTAAAGTTTACAAAGATGTCCTAAGATACCTCCTTTAGGAAATATATTTCTACTGTTCCTAATCCCCCAGGTTTTGCTAAGGCTTTTTGAAAGCTGGTTTAGTATGGTGCCATGAAGTTTCTTCACAACTGCAATAGAAGTTTCTTGTTCAGGAATATGCACTGCTGTTTCTTTGTCTTCCTTGCTCTTTTTGATACACACCCATGACTAATATAATTATGTTTTTGCAAATTTAGTACTTAATAAAAATAGATCAATTCAAATTTTTCTTGACGTGACTCTTTGAGGTATTTGTTGACTGCTTGGAAAATCAAGTTGTGTTCCCGTGGAACCAGACCAAAAAAAAACAAACACTGACCACTGACAGCGAGTTCTTTAGTGGAAGTGGAGACCGGGATTGGAGAGGAGAAACAAAGTCGAGAGATTTGAAGTCCATGCTTTTTCTTGAACTAAAAAGGTTTTTTTTTGCTCATTCCTTTTGCTGACTTAAAAAAAAAAGTTTTGGTGTGTTTTGCCTAAACTGTTCTTGAGACAGGTTAGTCTCATATACTTGTGCTTCTGTTTGTATCTCATTGGGTTGGATGTATAGGATATATGATCACACATACATCACATTAAAAGACCTGTGCTTATTCCAACACTGCAGAAAATGGTTATAACTTCAAGTTTTGGGATGCCCTTTGAGAAGTATGACATTTAAAAAAAATTGTTGCATCTTTTTATGCCTTTGGACTTTGGAAAATGGACTAGAACATTTTTCAAGGAACATTTTAGCCTTTACCAGTAGCATCCATGAGATGCAAAATGCATTTGTAATTAATCCATTCACATAGATTGTTGGCTAGAACAAATTATGTTTTAGGAAATATTTAGTTATGAACACTTTTTGAAACATTGTCAGGGAAATACTGCACTCTTCTTTAAAACACATAAGAGAAAACTGAATAATCTGAAACTTTTTAATGTCCTGATATTAATTTTTGCTAGCACAATAATAAAACACAATAGACAAAGATTAGGAAAAAACAGTAAATTTTGATTTTATGAATAGCTATACTTTACTTTTCCGAGGCAGCAAAATAGCTGTCAAAATCACGTTTGGAAATAATAATGATCTATTACTTCCCTTTGTCATTTTTGTTATTTGTGTGTGTCCAAGATTTGTTGACCCAGTACAGCATTGCTGTTCATCCTTACAAGGCAGATGCCCTAGTGTCTGTCACTTGATCTACAGACTTGAGCATAACTTAAGGACCACTTGCAAACACTCTGAGTGGTCTTCTTGGGTCAACCTGCACGTGGGCGTTCTTGGACTGATCCAGTGGCTTGATGGTGCTGCCTCAGGCGGACAATGACTGAGTGTGACACTGCAAGCCTTCTGGCAACTTTTCGGACTCCCAACTCCATCATGCAGCCATGCCATAGCTCTGGCACGGTCAAAGTCTTTCAGCTTTCGTCTTGGTGGCATGTTGATGTGAATGTGGATTTTGCACAAACTGTGGTTTATATTGCCACCTAAGTGAGCACAGGTCGAGACCGTACGTCCATTTATCACGTGCACTAGAAATTTTAACAGGAGTGTCTGTGGTTTCGCACAAAAGTCGATAAAAACAGCAAATTTGGCTAAAATTCCCTGAGGATTTCCGTGCTGCACGTGGTGGTTTTGCCCCTTAGGAAGTTTTGCAGTTTGCATTGGTAACCCATAAACACTTTCAGAGCAAAACATTTTGAAACATTTCTTGCTGTCTTTTTTTATAAAACTGTCTGTCAAGGTGGTCCTTATCTTATGTTGAAGTCTGTATACTGACTCACAGAGGTGAAGCTATTACTGCTGTGCCGTAAGCTGCCAAGGCGCCTTTTTTTTCTTCTCAGCGGTTTTAAGAAAAAGAGGTTTTTGTCAGCGTAACCATTTAAAAATAAAGTGATTGCGAAATTTGAATTTGAATATAATAAAAAACTAGTCACAGCTTCACTTTAATTTTTCCACACAAGTAAGGTTAATGATTAGACTTTTGATTTAGCAAACAAAACATTTGGCGCCAAAATGAAAAAGGGCGTTTTGTCGGCTTACAGTAGTGCTGTGGTGTATACATTAAGGCTCTTTACCCTTAAAAAGAAAATACCTGAGTTGACTCTCCTGCTGGAAAGATCTATCTCTCGGTCCCTCTGTCTCTCTATCTCTCTGTCTCAGTGTCCCTGTCTCTCTATCTCTCTGTCTCTCTGTTTGTCTCTCTGTCTCTGTGTCTCTCTATCTCTCTGTCTCTGTGTCTGTCTCTCTGTCTTTCTGTCTCTCTGTCTTTCTGTCTCTCGGTTCTTTGTCTCTCTGTCTCTCTATCTCTCTGTCTCTTTGTCTCTTTGTCTCTCTGTCTCTCTATCTCTCTGTCTCTTTGTCTCTCTCTCTCTCTGTCTCTCGGTTTTTGTCTCTCTGTTTCTCTGCCATGACACGTCCCTTTGGGTCCTGGTCGGCCCCGATGATAGCTTGAGTCAAAGCAGTCAGCCTCCTCATAGCTTGAGTCAAAGCAGTCAGCCTCCTCATAGCTTGAGTCAAAGCAGTCAGCCTCCTCATAGCTTGAGTCAAAGCAGTCAGCCTCCTCATAGCTTGAGTCAAAGCAGTCAGCCTCCTCATAGCTCGAGTCAAAGCAGTCGGCCTCCTCATAGCTCGAGTCAAAGCAGTCAGCCTCCTCATTGATCAAAACTGTGATGGTGGGGGCTGTTTTATGTTTGGAATAATCACAAAGATATTATTGATATTGTTGAAAGTTGTCGTGAGCTAAGTTATTCATTGGTTTATCCAAATTGTCGCCTGAGAAATATTTTGTCCAAAGTACACTTTGGACAAAATAGTTCTGAGGCGAAGAAATGTGTCTTAGTAATTTGTAGATTTCACTCCTTTTTTTTGGTAATTGAACACAGGCTTAGCTTGGTTTAGACAGATCAACCACTCCACTGGGATGGTCACGAACTTGCTAATCAAGACAGCACGGTGAATGTAGCATTTGTGAGGTATCGGGATGAAATCAGGTGCTCGTCAAAATAAAGAAATCGAAGAAACTAGCATTTTCCCGCCCGTTTAGTAATATTTTCCTAATTTTTGTTTTTTGACTCAACGCCTTTAAGGTTCATTAAACTATACTTATGTGTGGATTTTACTGAAAAGTGTTGATTTAACTTAAGGCACAAAAAATGTAAATTTGCAGTTTCCAACGACTCAAGTTTTGGAAGTCACCACATTTTAGTGGTCATTTTCTCCCTAATTTTACCTCTGAGTTTTTTTTGTCAGCATAACCATTTAAAAATAGAGTGATTGCGAAATTTGAATTTGAATATATTAAAAAACTAGAGACAGAGAGACAGAGACAGAAAGATAGAGAGACAGAGAGACTGAGAGATAGATCTTTCCAGCTGGAGAGTCAACTCAGGTATTTTTTTTAAAGGGTAAAGAGCCTTAAGGTATACACCACAGACCCCCTCCTCCTTCAATCGCAAATATTTCAACTTCTATTCGTGATAGATGGGTGCTTTTTTGCCGAAAGCAAGACAAGTGAATACGTTTTGAGATGATACCAATAACTCCACGTGCCCAAAAATTGCCGAGCGCCTGATTTCACCGCGTTGTGACACATTTAGTTCACAGCTAAAACACGAAGCCCCAGCCACATTTGAAGGAAACGTTGCATCTTTCAGCAAGAGGCTCTGAGTTGCTGTTGCTGCCCCTGTGCTGTACATTTAAAATGTGGAGACCATAGTTTTATATTTAGGGTTTATGAAGCAAATGTAGTATTCAAGGGCATTCTGATTTTAAAACAATTGTTTTCCTTTTATGTAAAATTTGTTCTCAGATATGGATCTGCATGTTTCACTTAGAATAAAAGAAGGGTGCAGTGTTTATTTTATGTTTTGTTGCTCTTGTGGGAAGATACAGTCAGTAGTTAATGCATAATTGTGAATGATCAAAACAAAATCTTTTAATTCTTTCTTTGACCAAATACAAAGCAGTATTACTTTTGTTCGCTATTTGTTTTTGCCTCTTTACAGTCAAGATTGATAGTACTGATGATGATCAGATTTTTACTTTGTTCACACTTTTGTGTTGAATTTTGTTTTCATTGAGGATTTACAATGCGTCTTAATGTGTTTTAAATAGTTGGGTTTTTTTTAGCCATTAATTAAATACATTGTAGTGAAGGTCTGTAAAGTATGAAACAATGTGTAAATAGTGATGTTGTGTCTTTTTCAATACTGTGAATTTAGGGCTGTATACTTTGTCTGTAGGGATGGGCTTCCAAGATATATTTTCTTCATTGGTTGTCAAGCAATCATCTAATCGTCTTCTGCTATTGTACCGATATCATTTGGGAAGGGGGTGACTGGATGCTGCCAAGGTCCTACTGTTTGTCCCCTGTTTTGTTTCTGCCAGTCTTATTTGGCCTTTTCTGTACTCAAAATGACAGTTATTATATGTAAGTGTTCTTCTCTTTACTCAAACAAACAAACAAACAAACAAATGGTAACATGACATTCAACTTCATGACAATATGGCCTCTGGTGGCCAATCTGCATCTGTGGCATCAGGGGTTTGTTATTCACAGCTGTGCACAGAAGATATGATTACTGTCGTCATTTTTCCTCTACTTCTTCTGTATGTTTGTCACTCTCTTGTGACCCGCTATTTCCGGGGTGCCTTGATAGTCGAAGCAGACTTTGTGCTGTTGAAGCTAGAGAGATGAGCAGAGTAAGTGTGATTCCCTGTAAGGACTTCTCTGTTGACATCCACCCCTCGGCGCTCAT